GAGCGTTCGCACTAGGAGCTCCTGGGGAAGGGCGAGCAGGAGGCTGGAGCAGTGAGTGATGCTTGGCCAAAGCCGTCTCCCTTTTCTCTTCCATCCTTCTCTCTTTGGAGGAGGGAGGGGATGGGTGACAGACCCTGTGAGTGTTTTACTATTGTCTAAATAGGAACGTGATTAGAACTTAAGTGATGGGCACCTGGTGAAAACAAGGTGACACTTAAAATTTATTGAAAACCTTTATAAATTGCTTTTTCCACTAATAGATTACCATGGGTCCAACTCTCTGTGGTGTAGGTAATGTATGCAAGTGATTTATTCTATTGGGGATTATAACAGATGCTGTAAAATCATCTTGTAAGTATTTGAAAATAATTTGTCTGTCTCTGACGTGCCTTAGCACGTACAGGAATGTTCTGTTTGGGGAAGCGAGGTCCTTATCCTGATTTATCTGGAGGTACTTGTAAATGTTACTGTAATTTCATGTTATCAAATCATTTAGCTCTTCCTCTTCCAGAATGAAGTTATTTTATCTCGTGTACCTTATTTACTTCAAATTAGCCCTGAGGTTGGCCCGAAGTTGCACCTTGTTATTCCTTCACCTCCTGTTTCTGTCTTAGGCTCTGTTGGCAAATTCGAAGGTATAAGTAAATACTTTTTTGTTATTAATAGAATAACTTCCCCCTCCTACACTCACATTTTCTTTTCATTCCAGTCTTCGTTTTCCATGAGAAACTGACATTGCAGTACAAGTGGAAACCTCCCAAATTGCATGAAAAAGCCTTCATTCTCCTAGCAACAATGTCAGGGCTCAAATCCAGGACGGTTCCACGAGCGTGGGGGAAAGAGCCCTTCCAATTACCTGCTCCCCCCGCGGTACGGATCCGGTCGGTTCATCAGCACCTGGGTTTGGGTGGATTTGAAACTCAGCCATGGTATTGTTTAAAAATTCTCCATTCACTGAGGAAGGGTTTGTAGTGGGCTGAGCCCTGCGAAACCTGGGGCTGGTTTTATGGCTTCCCATTGAAACCTGGTGGAACCCCGTGGTGTCGACTGATTTTTCTTTTTTTTTTTTTTTTTTTCCTCCCCCCTTCCCCACTCATGTGGCTTTGATCAAACCCAGGGCTCAGAGAACGACCCCCCCAGGAACTGCAACCACTGAGCTTTGCCTAGTTCTGCCGTTCATTACAGCATTTGTGAGCTTCCAGTTGTAGATGATAAAATTAGGACCTCTGTGCCTAGCCCAGGGTGGAGATGGCTGGTCCTATGGCAGAGCTGGCTTTGCCCCTGTATAGGCGACACGTATAGGGAACGCGGACCATGGGTTAGCGTGTTTGATGCAGAAGTTGCCATGATCTCCCATGCCCTCGTAATGACACCTACCCGTGGTAATGAAGCCCTCTAGGCAGGATTAATGATTTTAGGGTAAACATCACATATTGTTGCAGGGATTGAATTGAAGCTCTGCTAAAGATATTAAACCAGGGAGGGATAGCTGGTCCTGGAGGCTGGTGATGACGAAGCTTTTCCCTTGTTGTTGCCTGCGTCACTCCAGCTTGGGTCGTCGTGCTTGATGGTTCCCATCTCACAGCTCCGTTTGTAGCTCGTACGCAGTTTTTTGGGGATCAGAGATGCGGGGAAGCCTGAGCCAGCTCGGCCCGAGGGCTTTCTCTCCAGTCCTGTGATCCCCTACCCTTCCCACAAACTGCGCCGAACTCTGCTGTGATTGTGCAGGACTTTTTAGGAAGGCTTTAGGAAGACTTTTTAGGAAGGCTTCTAGGAAAGAGCAGGCTGACCTGGCCTTGGGGAAGGGGTGGTAAGCGTGCGGGGCCGGGCTCCCTGCCCCAGCCGTCGTAGCCCCTGAGCAGAGCCGCTGTGGCCTGGGACCGGCCATCGCTGCAGGTGCTGTGCTAGTCCCGCTGCTGTGGCTTTCCTGTCCCCCCCAGGGATGGGGTGGGTGAAATGGTTAAAGACTGAGAGGGTCTGATACTGTTTAGTTTGGACGGGGAGAGTTTAAGAGTAAGCGTTGCAGCCATCATAGGCCTGCAATACTGAAAAACTCATCGTTTGACTTCAGTGGGGAGATGGATTGGACTAATGCTATGGTGGAAATCCTTCCTTTGGCTTTGCTGAGTATTGGATTGAGTCCTGCATGATGCTCCATGCTGCGCTTGTCCCTGTCCGGGATCCATAAAACACTCAGAGCTGAGACAACATCCAGGGCTGAAGTGAGCCTGTATCTACTCCCTAATAGCTTTTAACGCATAAAACAAAGTGCCAGTGCACACAACAACGTGTACAGCACCAGTATCTCAGCAGTTAAAGGGCAAACCATATTTTTCTGGCGGAAGATTATAGGTGAGAATTTCCTCTGTGCTGAAGGACTTAAAGATGCTGTTGTGTGATGCCACAACTCCCTCCAGCACTGCGTGTGCTGTGTGAATCGGAGTCCTGAATCCAGCCCGAGATCCACGTGCTGCCGTGTTCCAAGTCCAGTTCTGGGTCTGTTAGTCTAGATCTCCAAGCTGAGCTGAACCCTGTTTGCCAAAATCTCGAACCAGCGGCTGCATTGGGAAAGGAGTCCCCGCAGGTGGGCGCTTGGCTGCAGGGTGGTTGGGGAGCAGCACTCGTGCTCAGGAGCTTCTGCCCTCCGGTTCTCTCCTAATCCTGGCTCCCTCGGCGAGGAGGAAAGTAATTTCAGGGCATGACTTCCTAAGCCAGGTCCTTGAGCTTTGCATGGCTGCTTTTAAGCTGAGATTGAAAGGCTGGGAAAAAGGAGAAGGACCGTGTTCCCTCTGCCACCAGAAACAAAACCCTCTTCCAAACCAAAACCTACCCTGGGAGTGCAGAGGTGGAAAACCAGGCACTTGCGTCACCCCCCCTGGCAGCGGAGCTGGGGTGGGTCTGGTGGCTGAGAACACTCCTGCCACACAGTCCTCCAGCATCGGGATGCCGGTGGGATGCCGTCCCGTCCAGGGAGCCACTCCGGCGTGGGAACGGCCCTTTCCACTGCTGATGTTGCTCAGGGATGCGAGTCGGAGCCAAGCCTTGGGGTGTGCAGTGCGGCTCCGAAATAACCGCTGGCTTCGGGGCTCTCCAGGGTCCCAGCGACTGGAGTGGGGTCGGGGACCTCAACGCCTCCGGCACCCCTCTGGGTCATCCCTGGAGCTCCATGCGTGCTTTATTTGCCAGGTGTAGCGCCCGGGATGCTGCGGGGGAGAGTTTTCAAAGCACTGGGAAGGCTTAGACTAAGGCTTGTAATGATTTTAGTGGGATTTGGGTAGTTGTGGATGCAAGCTCATAAGGTATTTTGGAAAACATATGAAAAGTGAGCGGCAGGGTGGGAAATGCTGTTGTTCGGCCCATATGAGATTCTGACTTTTTTTTTTTTTCTGATTAAGCATGATGTTTCCCTGGCATGAGTTCAATTCATCCTGCTTCCCTAAAGGAAAACGCAAAGCTAAATGTCTTGCTTTGCTTGCAATTGAAGGAGCTGGACTGGATGAACTTAACTCTTGTCTTTGAAAACGCACTCTCTCTTTGGATAGGAGATTTTGTAATTTGGATAGGAGTTTTTTTTTTTTTAAAAAAAAAGTGAAATGATGACCTCATGCTTTCGTGCTATTTTTTTATGCATTTCTCTTTCAGCTGATGTTTGTTACGACTCCTATTAACAATGTTTGAACCAAAAACAAGGTCCAGATGTGATGATTTTATTTATGCCAAATTGCGTTTTGGTCACTGAGCTTGCGTTTGGGTAATGAATTTTTTCTTTTTTTTTTCCTTTTTTTTTCTTTTTTCCTTTTTCAGCCTGATGGCACCAGCAAGGAGTGCGTCTTCATTGAAAAAGTCCTAGAAAACAACTATACGGCACTGATGTCAGCAAAATATTCAGGCTGGTATGTTGGATTCACCAAAAAAGGGAGGCCACGGAAAGGGCCCAAGACCCGGGAAAACCAGCAAGATGTACATTTTATGAAGAGGTACCCAAAGGGGCAAGTGGAGATACAGAAACCTTTCAAGTACACAACAGTCACCAAGAGGACTAAGAGAATACGACCCACCAACCCCAGTTAAAAATAGACAAAACCAGTGTCACAATAATAAACCACAAAAAAAAAAAAACTTCCCCATAGTAATATTTTTACATTAAAAATAAGGAAGAAGATCTATTTTTGTACATTGTGTTTAAAAAAAAAATAAAAATAAAAAAAATTAATAAAAGACTAGATGGCAAACGCTGGGGAAAAGCTGTTAGGGATTTATTGTGACTTGAAAAACAAAATGAACTGCTCTATTTAAATTGACTTCTTGTTGTTGATGACACACAGGTGCTTATTTTGCTTTTTTTTGGAAAGGACAACTTTTCAAGCATATCCCCAGAGGGAAAAGAAAAAAAAAAAAAAGGTAATTATTAAAAATAAACAAATAAAACCAAAGAAA